TCTGGATAAATAATATATGTATTTATAAATGTAGAAATAATGACTAGAATTCAGAAATAAGCGATCCCGTTTTCCGAATTAATAAGCCATGGCTCAAGGTTCCGTTCTGGGGCGACGACTTTTCTCAATTTATATAAACGATATTGGCACCTACTGGTTTCAGGATCTCGAGAGTACGAAAGCATAGGTTTTCCGTTTCCGTCTGTCTGTCTGTCGTCTGTATCGCTTTTTATTAGACACAATGGGCGCGCAGCGAGCATGTTCAGGATGTTACAGTCGCAAACATCTTCGAAGTCACAATTTAATAACAAATACATTTTTCTTAATAAATAATTTAGCTTCTCAGGGACGCAATGAACGATTTTTTAAATTACACCTGAACGTGCTCGCTGCGCTCGCGTTTTTAACTTCTAAATTAAACAAGACGAAAAACAATAACGCAAAAATGAAAAAACATGTCCTGATTTTGAAGTAATTTGAGAGAATCTCGGAATCTCTTTTGCTATGTCTTTGAAATAGTTTTAGAGAATTTTGGAGATCCCTTATCCCGTTTTTGAAGAGGTAAATTACATGAAAAAAGATTTTAGAAACCCACGTTCCAGGATATTTGTTAGCTAAAATGATTAACGAAAGTCAAATAAATATAGGAAACTTAAGATATGTTGATCAACGACTCGAAATTCTGGCTCATAGAACTGCTAAATTTCAGTCTCGTAGACAAATAAGGATTTCACAATTAAGCTCCGCCCCTCGGCTTACGACAAATAAAAAAATCATATTTTGCCTTTTTTTTCTTAATATGCATAGCCATTTTTCACAACAAGAAACTTAAAACATGGTTAAAATGGTACATTTTTGCAAGGAAATATGGATTTTGCAATTATGGGGCTGAGCCTAATTGCAAAGTCGATATTTCCTTACACAAATTTTCCATTTTAAACATATTTCAAGTTTCATGTTGTGAAAAGAAGTCTACAAATATTAAAACAAAAAGGCAAAACGTAAGCCCGCCCACCCGCCCTGTCTTAGGTGTGATGATTTTTTTTATTCGTCGTGAACCAAGAGGGCGGAGCGTAACTGAAAAATACTTATTTCTTTACAAGAAATTAACAGCATGTTTTTAAGTATTGGGTTGTTCAAAAAATACCATGTATATTAAGAAAAAAAACAAAATATAAACCCCGCCCACCCACCCCATCTCAACTATGATGATTTTTTTTTAATCTTAGAAACTCAAAACACGTTTAAAATGGTAAATTTTTTTAAGGAATTTTGGATTTTGCAATTAGGCTCCGCCCCTAGATCTGCCAATGAATGAAAACTTCATTACTATTTAGATCAGGGCTTAATTTTTCGCTTTAGTTTTTTCTTAATATAAGTACGCAGTATTCTTTGAATAACAGTATAGTCAAAAACATGTCTTACATGGTAATTTCTTGTAAAAAAAATGATAACGATTTTGCAATTACATTCCGTTCCTTTGGTCTCGACGTTTAAAAAAAATCGTCACAATTGAGACGGAACGGGTGGGCGGGGTTTATATTTTACCTTTTTTTCTTGACATACGTAGCCGTCTTTTCAGAACAAAAAACATGTTTAAAATGGTAAATTCTTCTAGACAAATATAGATCTTGCAATTAAGCCCCGCCCCTCGATCTGACAGCGAATGAAAAATTCATCCCAATTGAGAATTGAGATCAGGGCGGGTATGGGTTGGGCCTAATCTTTGGCTTTAGTTTTTAATATACATAGAATTCTTTGAACAACACGATACTCAAAAGAATGTTTTTAATTTCTCGTAGAGAAATAAGAATTTGCAGTTAAGCTCCGCCTCCTTGGCGCACGACGAATAAAAATAATCATCATCACAACTGAGATGGGGCGGGTGGGGGGGGCTAATACTTACTAAGATAAGACTGATTTTGGCAAATGATATACACGCTAAAAAACAGAAGGCGGGTGGGTGGACTAGTACTTGCTAAGAAAATTCCAAACTTCCATTTTTAAGCATAGCGGAGCTGTAAATTTTAAAATAATTTAACTAACTTTTCATGAAAATGCAAATAGTATGAAATTTGTTGACTGTAAAGCTCCTCATTTTCCTTCACCTGGAAAAATATACATAGCCTTATCCTTAAAGAATACTACATAATGCAAGAATAGGAAAAAAAGGAGGAAGAAGAGGCAAAATCGAAGATGATGGAAAAAGAACATCCAAGATAAATGTAAAAATAAGGAAGGAAAGCAACTGTTGGAATTGGCAGAAGAGATGGGATGGAAGATCTTGAATGGAAATAAAACTGGCCATAATAAAGACGAATTAATATATGTAGAACCGAGAGGACAATCGATAATAGATTATTCAATAGTGAATGAAATGAAATTTCTCAGTTCAAAATGGGAGAAAGAATCCAAACCTATCTTTTGTTCACCTTTCTCAATCATTCTTATCCTTTCAAATACCTTCCAAAAACCCTTTAGACACAACTGTTTTCGCCGCTTTCTACCGACCTTTCTTTTCATTTCAAATTCACAAACTCCAAGACTTCCCTCATCTGCCGAACCGACAACATCAAAATAAATACACCAAAACGCCAGTACTGTTTCAATCACCTGGTCACCCCACAATGTAAGTAAAATGAGATGCATTGGAACAACTGATAAAAGATGCAGAAATGAAGGTAGAAATTAATGTAAAAAGAAGTGGAGGGAGAATATACCTCTATTTTTAATTTTAAATGTAGAGACTATTCTAAAAAATAAATTTTGTGCTATCAAACAGTTATCTCATGTATTATACAATAGTTTTTTCAAAATTTTGATAATACAGTAACTCTTATTCAAAGATTACAATACAGTAACTAATATTTATTATTTTGTTCGTCGCTAGGACTCTATTAATATACTTCCAGTTAGAAAAAAATACGTATTTAGATGCTCTTTTATTTCACATATGAAACTCTAGTTCAAGATCCTCGTTATTATTTTTTTCCGAGTGGTGACTGGTGCTTCTCCGCACAATATTCTAGAGCCTTCAGATACAGACGCAACTTCTGACCGAGATTCGTACTCTCAAACATAGTTGGCGTTCCAACACTTCCCCTCGAGTCAAAGGTCTACCAGCTTCTTCGTCCTGGGTTGACCCCTAACTGTATTGTAGCTCCGCCTCGTCGTGGCCGTGTCATTCGCAAGATTTAACGTTCCCCTCTTCGAACGGTTGAGCTTCGTAAATTGACCCAACTTATTGCGTAAGTAACCAATCCAAGTTTCGGTTTATTTCCGCACGCTTTATCACCTTTAAGCACACGTTTCTTGCATACTTCTAGTTCTCTCTCTAATTTCCTCGTTGTCCTCCCATCCGCCATTTTTGTTGGCTACCTTCGCGCCGAATGTGAGCTTGTCCACGGCGTCGAAAAATCGCTTCGATTACAAAGCCAGCATAGATGGCGTTCCAACACTTCCCCTCGAGTCAGAGGTTCGTTAAAAATAAGATTGTGTTACGTTGTTCTTAGCTTTTTCGAACAGTTTGATCATTATTGATGAGGATGGTACATTTTGATAGTTGCGAGGGCGAGTTAAAGTGAAACAACACCGCCCCCGTACAATCCCCGTTTCAGCGTCGCCGCCTCCCCAGAATCCGTAGCAGTCCCTGCTAACGAGGAACCGCCACCAGAAGAACCACATGATGACCTTGGCCGAATTTTCCACTTGTTTTTGATTGCGAAAGTCTCTTTTTAACCCGATAGTTTTCTTATTTCGGAGTATAGCGTATCAAGAAATAAAAACCGAATAGTTTTAAGTTAACAAAATTAACTTCTTATCTTTTCTTTATAAAGACCATGAAGTGCCTAAAAAGTGTTATAAAATGTGATTGTAAACACAATTTGAATTTTTTTCGCTAAAATCTGGATGCCTGTGGAACGGACATAAAAATTTTGAGGTGAGGTCATGAACTTTTTGGTGGGAATAATCATCCTAATCATTAGTGGTCGCTTTAGCGATTTTCTGCCTAATACACATCAACACAGACATCAGACAGACAGACAGACGGAAATAAAAAACGTCAAAAGAGATTCTGTATTTTCACAAGAGTAATTTTCGTTAATAAAGCAACAAATGAAATATACACACTATAAAGATCTTTGGTTATCCTTAACTGCCAATAATTCCACCAAAATCTCCTTTTTCAAAACCTGTCTATTTTTGGTCAAATCATCCTTTTCAGAATCTACAAACAAGTGAAAATTATCTCTTAGCGTCACACAGCCTTCATACAACTTTTTCACTAGTTTCTGGCCACAATTTTACTCACGCGTACAATTAATTCAGCAGATATATTTTCTAGAATGTGTAGATTCTCACCTCTAGCTTCGATACGTGAAAAAATGTACAACAACACTTGAAGAACAATAAACAGGGATAGCCACCTACAAAAATCAATACACTTATGGAGCAAAAATAAAATCGCTTACCATTTCATCTGGGTGTATAAATACGCTACTTGTAAATGTAATTTGATCTTATTCCATGTTCTTTTAAAACTAGAGACAGAATTATGCCTTAAGTGCATTACTTTTCTTGATGAGAACACACGTTTGAGTTTTCTGTTAGTCAACATTTTTTGTAGTGATGATTCATATCCACTATTCTCCATATAACCGCCTTAAGTTTTCCAAACAATAGTAACATTAAAGAAACAATCAGAACTTAATCAAGACTGTGTTTGTTTAAATTAACTATCAAGTTTTATAATTCAAAAAATTATTTTTTTCTTAATGAATAACAAAGAATGAGGTCAGGTTATACCCACTGTGACACTCGTTCCGCTTTGTTCCCCGTGTGGTCGCCTTCAGTTGACGTCATGCATTCGATCGTAAATCGGACAATACTTATTTTATTTCATACCGCCGACATTGTACGCTTTTACTGTACTTCCCCACTCTCTCCGCCGTCCTTTCATCAAAATCCGACCTTTCTCGTTTCAATAAACTATTAAGAGGCGGGCAGTCAGTCGACTTGGGCCTTTCGAATCCTCTCGATTCAGCCATCCATCTTTAATAGGCAAGAAGTAAGTAAACTTGCGCTCTATCCGCCTATTCATAAGTTACGGAATGATTTCCATACAAAATCCCGATGCTTTCAGCAACATACATAATGGATTAACCACTTCCGGAGATTCACCTGGAACTCCGGAGTATGTTTTGTGGTGCGGCGGTCAAACAAAACGCATCCAATCCTCGACTTTAACAAGGAGGAAACAGGAACCATAAAGAAGGCAGCGGCGTCCCGACGGGGAAAGCGCGGAAAAACCAACTGAGACGAATTACTCCGGGAAGGCGCAACCAGAGCCGGCGACGTGATGATTCCGCGGAATTAAATCACGTAACACAATATGGTGGCTGTGGTGACGACTTCGAGGCTACAAAGAGAGGGCATTTTGTGGCGACATTATGTACATTCGCCCATTTTTCTTCCATAAAAATAAAAGGAATAATTCGAATTTGAAAAGAAACACGAAAATAGGTATCCTAACAGGATAAACACACAAAAAAAGGACGAGCCGCCCCTGTACTTTCGGATGGTCTCTCTTCACGGCGTATTAGCCACGTTTGCATGTGTACGAATGGACGGATCTGATTCGATCGGTACAATGAGAAAACATCAATCTTGCTAATGACTACGCTATATTCGCATATTCCGGGAGCAGAATGAACCCGGTGTGTCTGCTTTGAACCGATAAATCATACAGTTTTTTGTGAAGAGAAGTCGAGATAGAGTTGAAGGAAAATTTTATTTATTTGTCTGCTTATTGTCTGCAATGTGAATAAAAATTTGATTTATTTCAGACGATTTGCCCGTCATCATCGAATCATGTTTTTAGATGTACTTATGTTATCGGGGAGATTGGGATCGAGTGGAGATGGATGAATGCGAGTTCGGGTCGGCATTTTTACAAGGAAAGAAATAACTTTTTGTAAGTAATTTTATTATAATGGACGGGAATTTTATACTAGTGCACAAGTGGGGTAATAGCAGGAAAGGTATTGATTGGATTATTGTAGGAAATGTATTAATCATGTTGAAGGAAGTTTTTCCATTTTTAAGCAAATAGCTGTAAAACTGTGCTTTCTTTGGACTTAATTTTAGAAGCTATTATGACTAGACATGAAATTGATTCATGGTTGTAATTATTACATCATTAATCATAATTCCGACATATACAGTGTATATTAGTATATTATAGGCTGAATTAAGCATCTACAAGAATTACTTAAAGTGCTGCACTTACTCAAATCAAAATAAATACTACTGAAACATATATGATGTAAAATCGGTAGCAATATTCCATAAATACCCAAAAATCTTATTTAAATTTCAATTTTAAATTTTTTTAAATGTTTTCATTTTTATTCCGATACTTGTAGAAGAGTGCAAACAATAATATACTTTTTCCATACTTACTCTATTTTATTTTCAAAAATCATCAACAAAAATTTAGCTATTTTGACAGCCTTAGTTGGCAACCATGCAAATTACTGTCAAAATAGCAGTTTACTATACATCTGGTTGCTTAGTCCATTCTTATTTGTCAAAACCGTTTAATACATAATGAATATAATTTTTGATAAAACTGGAACAGCTTATCTCATTTTGTCAAAATTCTGACTTTTTTTCAAAAATAAAACACAAGAAACCCTAAAAGTTCTTTCATATTCACAAGAAGTCTCATAAATTCTTTAATAATTGAAAAAAGGACACAAGGCAACCCCAAAATTCAAACACCAGAGGTCCCTAACATTTTAAGAATTTTTTCAAAAATAGAATACAAGAGGTCCTGAAGATGCTTTCATATTACAAAAATTTTTCAAGAAACCATTCGAGTCCTCGACGTTTCCAAATTCTTCAAAAACAAAACGCAAGAGGATCCCACAATCATTTCATATTTTTAAAAAAATACAAAGCACCTCTACGATTCCTTCTAACTCTTTCAAAAACCAGCAGAATTATCATTTTTTTTTCAAATTCTTTAAAAAGTAAAAGACAGGGGGTCTCGAAAATGTTTTCCTATTCTTTTAAAAAGGTACAAGGTACCCCAAAATTCATATACCTAGTTTCCCCAAAATTTTAGAAATTCTTTCAAAAATAGAACTCAAGAGGTCCCGAAGACTCGTTCATATCTTAAAGATTTTTCAAAAAAACTTCGGGTTCTTCGAGGGTTTCCAAATTCCTCAAAAATAAAACATAAGAAATCCCGAATATGTTTTCACGTTTTAAAAATTTTTCAAAAAAACGTTGCAATCTTCAGAAATAATACATAAAAGGACTCCAACATTATTTCATATTAACAAAAAACACTAAGGGCCTTAATTTTTTTCACTTTTAAAAGAAAAAAAAATACTAAGGGTTTTGAAGATTTTAACAAATTTTTTAATAAATAAAATACAAAGGGTTTTGAAAATTATTTCATATTAAAAAAAACACACACAAGGCAGACCCAAATTTCAAACACCAGCGGTTCGCAACATTTTTAAAATTCTTTCAAAAATGGAACAAGAGATCCCGAAGATATTTTCACATTTCAAAAATTTTTCAAAAAACCTCCACGGATTTTGAACCTTTTTCAGAATTTTAAAAAAATATAGTGTAACGGGTTTCGAAAACTCTTCCATGTACTTTTAAAAAAGACACAATGCACACCCAAACTTCAAAACACCAGTCGTCCCCCAGATTTTAAATTTCTTTCCTCAATAAAACACAGGGGATTTCGAAGATGGTTTCATTTTTCAAATATTTTTTCAAAAAAATCCGGGGTTTTTGAGGTTTTCCAAATTCTTTAAAAAAAAACACCAGGGGTTTTAACATTTTTTTCAAATTTTTAAAAAATAAAATACAAGGCACCCCCAAAATTAAAAAAATAGTGGTATCCAAGTTTTCTAAACTCTTTAAAAATAGAACCAAGGTGTCCCGAAAACGCTTTCATATTTCAAATTTTTTTTAAAAAAACGTTGGAGTCCTCCAGTTTTCCAAATTCTCCCAAAATGGAACTCAAGAGGACCTCGAGATTGTTTCCTATTCTTAAAAAAAAACACTGAGCACCTTTACTGGTTTCACATTGCAAAAGTTTTTCAAAAATGTCTAGGGGTCCTTAAGGTTTTCTAAATTCTTCAAAAATAAAACACAAGAGAACCCCAAGATTCTTTCATACTCTTTAAAAAAAACACTAAGCGCCTTTACGATTCTTTTGAACTCTTTCAAAAGTACCACCAGGGATTTTGCAGCTTTTTTCAATATTATTTTTAAATGAAATACGAGGGGTGCTGAACATTCTTCATATTCTTTTAAAAAGACACTAAGAACCTCTACGATTCCTTCAAACTTTTTCAAAAAACTACCAGGAATTCTCAAGATTTTTTCAAATTCTTTAAAAAATAAAACACAAGGGGTCCTGAAAATTCTTCCATATTTTTACAACAGAAATGTTTTCAAAAATAGGTCTCAAAAATGCTTTTATATTTTAAAAAAATTTCAAAAAAACCTCGGGATTTTCCAGGTTTTCCAAATTCTTCAAAAATAAAGGACAAAAAACTCAAAGATCTTTTCATAAAGTAGAAAAAAAAAACAGAAAACCAAGCGCCTCTCCGATTTTTCAAATTCTTAAAAAAAAATACCAGTTATTCTTTTTTTCCCCAATTTATTAAAAATCAAAACATAAGAGTTCCGAAAATATTTTCATATTTTTTTAAACATGCAAGGCATCCTAAAATTCAAACACCAAATATCTACACAATTTTAAAATATCTTTCAAAAATAGACCATAAAATGTTCAAAAAGAGGCCGCGATCTTCGAGGTTTTACCAAATTCTTCAAAAGCAATTAATTACCTTTACTATTCTTTCAAGCTCTTAAAAAAAACATGGGTTTTGAAGCTTTTTTCAAATTAAAAAAAAAATAGTATACGAAAGGTTCCGAAAATTCTTTATTTTATTTAAAAAAAATATACCAAGGACCTCTATGATTCCTTCAAACTCTTTCAAAAACTACCAGGAATTCTCAAGATTTTTTCAAATTCTTTAAAAATAAAACCCAAGAGGTCCTGAAAATTCTTTCATTTTTTCTAAAAAAGAGAAAAAAAATTAAACAACAAATATCCCAAAATTTTTGAAATTCTTTTATATCTGTCTCAAAAATGCTTTTATATTTCAAAAATTTTTCAATAAAGCGCGGGATTTTCTAGGTCTTCCAAATTCTTCAAAAATAAAACACAAAATACCCCAAGATCTTTTTATATTCTGTAAAAAAAAAACACAAAACCTCTCCCCTTTTCCGATTTTTCAAATTCTAAAAAAATACCAGAGATTCTGAAGTTTTTCCAAAATTATTAAAATTGAAAATACTAGAGTTCCCAAAAATGTTTTCATATTTTTTTTAACACACACAGCATTCCAAAATTCAAACACTAAGTCTCCCCAAAATTTTAAAAATTCTTTCAAAAATATAACACAAGACGCCCCGAAGAAACTTTCATATTTCAAAAAATTTTCAAAAAAATATCGGGATCTTAGAAGTTTTACCAAATTCTTCAAAAACAAACCATAAGAGATCCCAAATATGAATTCACATTTTAAAAATTTTTCAAAAAAACCGTCGAAATCTTTCAGGTTTTCCAAATTCTTAAAAAATAAAACACAAAAGGACTCGAAGATTCTTTCATATTCTTAAAAAACACACACTAAGCGCTAAAACACCAAGGATTTTGAAGCATTTTTCAATTTTTTTAAAAACAAAATACTAAGGGTTCCGAAAATTATTTCATATTCTTTTAAAAAAGACACAAAGCGCCCACAAAATCCAAACACCAATGGTCTCCAAGATTTTTGAAACTCTTTCAAAAATAGAACAAAAGGCATCCCGAAGATGCTTTCACATTTCAAAAACTTATCACACAAACGTCGGAGTCCTCAAAGATTTCCAAATTCTTCAAAAATAAAACACAAAAGGACTAAAAAACTATTTCATATTCTTAAAAAAAAACCACTAAGCGCCTTTACGATATTACGGGGTTTTAAAAAATTTTCAAATTTTTAAAAAATAAAAAACAAAGGGTTCCGAAATTCTTCAATTCTCCAAAAAACAACATAAGGCACCCCCAAATTTCAAACAAGAGTGGCTCCCAAGATTTTTAAATTCTTTAAAAAATAGAACCGCAAAATGCTTTCATATTACAAAAATTTTATTAAAAAAGCATTGGGGTCCTCGAAGTTTCCAAATTCTTCAAAAATAAAACACAAAAGGAACTCAAGATTTTTTTCATAGTCTTAAAAAATCACACTAAGCACCTTTACGATTCCTCTAACTCTTTCAAAAAACCACCAGGATTCTCAATTTTTTTTCAAATTCTTTAATAAATAAAACACAAGGGGCCCCGAAAATTCTTTAATATTCTTTCTAAAAAAGATGCCTTTAAAAAATATAGAAGGAACCCCAAAATTTAATTTGTTTCCTCAAAATTAAAAAAAAAAGTCAAAAAAGAACACAAGAGGTTCCGAAAACTCTTTCAAATTTCAAATAAAATTAAAAAAAAAACACAAGACACCCCCAAAATTCAAACAGCAATGGCCTATAAAATGTCTAAAAATTTTCAAAAATTGAACAAAGGGCCCCCGAAAATTATTTTTTTCAAAAAAACCACCAGGGATTCTCAAACTTTTTTCAAAATTCAAACCAGTTATTTTACACAATTTTGAAATGATATCATCAAATGATAGAAAAAGTCATGTTTACTATCACTATTTTTTTTTTCAAGCTACGAAGTGTTACTTTGTTCTCTAGCTTTTTTTTAGTTGCCAACCACTATTCAACAGTTATTCAACAATTCTTGTTGCGTGGTTTTTCCTGATCGTATGAGAATCCGTTTCTCGAGTTGGCTTAGCCTAATAAATCTCAAATATGCTTAATCCGATCGTTATACCCAAA